AGGGGGGGCATGTCAGGAATACTGTATGTAATCAGGGGATATCAGGGGGGTCTATGTTAGTTTTCCCTTTAATTATTCCACATGTGCAGGACATTCAGGAATAATTTTGCACATCTATGTGGAACGGGTTTGGGAAAATATATAGTTATTTCTGGATGTGTCAAGATATAAGGCAGGGACTATTTTATGTATGTATATATGTATTATATATATACAAATAATAGCCAAGGCAGTCTTTGGGGGTGCGGGCGAAGGCTCGAGGGTACGGCTCGGGATCTCCATGGCCCAGGCAGAGGACTGTCTCGACACGAAGAAGACGGTCGAGGGTCCCACGGCCTTGCAGGCGAAGTCTCGGTTCTGGCACCTCGCTCTGTTGAGAGTGGTTTTGATGGGAGGTGGCCTGACTTTCCTGGGGGAAGCAAGGGGAAGCCAGGAGGGTCACCTGTTACCAGAGGTAACCTGTTTCATGCGACCGCAGGTGGCTGTTTTATCCGCAGGTGACCGGCCCGCAGGGGTGGATCGTTTGAGCCACGACCTGAATCCAATTCATTGTTTGGATGAATCCCCACCCATCAGAGGATGAATCTTGCAGTGTTACAGCACTGCCGCCATGGTGGTTTGAGAGAGTGCGGCTTGGATCTGTTTGACACTAGATGACCCTTGAACAGACACACTGCCATGAACATTAGTTATATTTTCCGGACCTGAACTTATTAGAATCACCTCGACTAGATATGACGTAAGTCTTTATAGATGATTGGTAATCTCTGAAACTGAGACTTCATGATTTGAGCACAACCACTATGGAAACAGACAATCACATCATAAACATTATATAACTATATGCTAGCCCCCCCCCAAAAAAAAACAAAAAACTATGTTTCTGAGTGCTGGTGTGCAGTTGGTAAGCATATTTGTTCATTTAACTATGTACTACAAAAATGTCCAAATCCATCAGGTTATGTGTTTACTAAACAGTTCTTGGATGGAGTAATCTAATTCAATGCAAGCCTAACTTTAATTTGATTTCAAGCTAATTCTAACTTCATTGCTATACAAGTCAGATTTAATTCTAATAGTGTATTATTTTTCAATTTAGTTTTAATTTGAGTGAAATTATTATTTACTTCTAGAGAAGTGGTATTACTTTGAACACGAGAAATTTTATGTAGTTTTTTCCAATATAGAAGCATTTGTTTTTTTTAATGAATTAAATTCACCACCAATAACACCTACTTTCTAGAATGATATTAAAATTGAATTAGAATTCCATGTGCATTGAATTAAAGCAAAAATAGGATGAAATTAGACATATAGAAACTAAACCTAATTTGCAATGACAATAGTGTAAAATTAGATGTGTAAAACAATTGAATCTGAACCGTATAAAGGCATTAACATTAGAAATTAATTACTAGTAAATTGGAAGAGTCAAAGTTACAATTGAACCCAAAATAGAATGAAATAGAACTAAATTAGAAGTAGACTGGAATTAAATTAGAGTTGAAAGAACAACATTGAATAATAATCCATTACTTAAATTGAAATTGACTTAGAACTAAGGTAGAATTGAACTAGATCTAATTTGCAATCTCGATTTGATTTCAATTATATACAGTTCAATTAGGATCATTTTCTATTTGAATTAGAAGCACGTTGCAGATTCAAATTTAGATTCAAGTTTGAATTCCATTAGATCTAAAATAGCCAAACATAATTCGAATTAAAATAGAAATGAGTAAATTAGAATAAACACTGAATTAGAATTTGTCTATACAATGAAGTTAAGCTAAATAGACTTAAATTGGAATTCAATTAGGCTCAACTTAGGCTTAAAGTAGAACTATGTTACATACTCAAATTAGAATCCATTTAAATTTCAATTAGACTTCAATTAGAATCAACTTAGAAATTTAAATAGAAATACACGTGATTTTAAATTGGAATAAGAATTGACTTAGAATTTAGTTAAATTGTATGTGCACTAAAATTCATAGAAGTAAATTAGAGTTGAGTTAGTTGTTAATTAGAATTGAATGAGGAACAAATATCGGTAATCAGTAATATTCCAGGATCAAAATGTACTTAGTGCAATTTTTTCACTACCAGAGAATGCCAGAGAATGCATTCCCTCCCAAAACCAAGATCCAAGATCCAAGATTTGCACAAAAGTCTTGTGGTAAATCTTGGATTTGGGAACATCCTGCCCAAAACCAAGATCCAAGATCCAAGACTTTAGCCAGGAGTCTTGTGGGAATCTTGGATCTTGGATCTTGGTATTTCCAAGATTTTAGCCAGGAGTCTTGTGGGAATCTTGGATCTTGGTTTTTCCAAGATTTTAGCCAGGAGTCTCGTGGGAATCTTGGATCTTGGATCTTGGTTTTTCCAAGATTTTTGCCAGGAGTCTTGTGGGAATCTTGGATCTTGGATCTTGGTTTTGATCAAGAATGCATTCTGGATGCATTGAACGCATTCTGAATGCATTCCTTCCAAAGTGGACAAACAAGTCATGCAACCTACGTGCACAAATATATATATATATATATACGGTACCCCAAAAAAACTAAGGACCAAAAGGCAACCAAAAATAGACACACAATATTGCAAATACCGGCAAAAGTGAGGTGAACATAGGTTTTTGGGGGGCACCAACTATATACATACATATATATAGATCATATCACATCATATCATATCAATGATATATATGCATATATGGTACCCCCATACGTTATTTTCTCTAAATGATACTTTGTGTGTTTGTGTTTTTCCTGGAGGGTGCCATATATATAATATACATATCTATAGAGCGTACTTAAGATAAATTCCAGAAGCCAGGGAAACATCCAGGACAAACAGTTGCAAACGGTTGTGCAAACGAGAGCCAAGAATCAAGATTCAACATTTCTGATCCCAGATGCAATATATAAGATTGTCCGGGTTTCTGGATTCAAGGAATTGTTTGTTGGATCTTGAATCTGGGACTTTGGTACTATTTGGACTAGAATTTGACACAGGAACCGTTTGCAAACGTTGGCAATGGCTGACCTGCCCTCAAATGCCACAATATCAATCAATCACGCTATGAAGAACGTTACCACATGTGAAGAAGCCATCAAGGTAAAGCACTACATCAAAAATGAGTGTTGGACAAATACATTGAATGATTTCTATGGCAATGAGCCCAGAATGAAGAAAATGGCCAGAGATAAAGTTCTGGACCTCAGAGGTAGAACTGATGAGTTCAAAACATCTAGGCCATCAATTAAGATATGAAATGAGGTGTTCAGAGAATAAATATTAACTCATTGAATGTAGGATGGTTGAAGGCAGTGATAACTTTCTGAAATGCACAGAGAAGGAAAAATACACCACGTCCTACAAAGGTATATAGTTATTTTCACAATTTATTATCAAAGCACACCGGCAGGATACAATCCTCACATCAAACTTTGTTCAGGCATTATTTCACACTTGAATTTCAGGTTCAATCTGAAAGCGAAAAAAATGTGAAATCAACAATAAGACTCAATCAATGCCAGCAAAACAGTGAGGCAAAGAAAACAGACAGCAACAAGTAGCAACAAGTCAAATGCAATGTTCATGCTAGCAAATGCTCAATGTTGATATTGACATCCTAAACCGGTGTAGAGCAGTCACGCCGGCTGGAGAACTTCAGAAAATTCTTTATAGCAGGCAGGTACGCTTTGAAGTAGACAACAACAAGGTTTACACTTTACTGCTATATAATACAAAATAAGAAACATACGCATTCGATCATGAACAAATTCCAGTCTTCAATGAGTTTGATGTATGGAAAGCCTATAACTATAACCGGCATCATCTCAATGTGAGGGTGATGCTGGATAATATGTTTTTGAAGGAGGTTACAATCACAGACACTTTCAGATTAAGGATATGATGTTCTTCAAAGAGAAAAAGACACAGCTACCGTCTAGCAGTATCAACAAAAGACTATTAATCATTGAAAGGTGGCTTCTATTGTGGCAGTGTTCTTCACAACTTGATTGATATTGTGGCATGTTCGGGGGTTAGCCATTGCAAACGGTTGCAACATTTAGTCCAAGATTCAAGTTTCAACATGTCTAGAAGACACTCCAAGGCTCAAAAATAAAGCAAGAATGGTACTGTAGACTTTTCAGGGGGTGCCGTATATACTAGTATATACTATATACTGTATATATATATATATATGTGTGTGTATACCTAGTTGTATTTGTATATATGTGCCAGTGAGACTAGGGTGAAGCGGCAGGAGGAGCTGCTCTTCAACAAGGAGCCACAACAACTTGATCAACGCTACAGCCTGGAATGCTACAGGCCAGCTGGGGAGGATGTTTCCTACAATTGCACCATAAATGATATATAATAGTATGTTTTTGCACGCCGTTTCAGCGAGCAGGAAGAGATAAAGAGATATTCAGCTCATAATGTGGATTTGGGGGTCTACCAGGAGATTCATTTTGCATCATTTTGCATATGGTAGTTGATGAAAAAAGGTCAAGATAAGGCCTAGGTTCATTGAGAGCCGGCGTGGATGACGGCTTCGTCAAGTGGTCCGAGCCGTTTCTCCGATGGGCGAGAGTTTCGGGGGCTTAGGTTGTTGCAGAAGTTCTTGCCGAGTGTTCCGAATGCTGCCGCCGTCGACTCAGCGGAACGACGGTTGTTCGATCGAAGCAGGCGAGATCGGGAGTTCATCCCCAAACTCGAAATTGGTGAGGCAGTCATTATAGACTTGGAACTGTATGGGTGCCATGGTTAAGCTAACAGTATACAATGGACCTTTGAGTGGTGCTTGCATGTGCTTACCTTCCGCTTTACACACCCCGGAGCTTCCAAGTTCGGGGTCCAAAAGTCACCTTTTGGAAGGTCCAGGTATTGATCATTGGCCATTTACTAAGTGGATGTTTGTCATTTGTTCATCAAAATTGAGTACAAGCTACAACCGCTACGGACCAGGACTTTGCGTTGTGGCTGAAATGGGAGGTCGGATCGAGTCGTCCGAAGGCTCCCTGCGGGTTTGAGACAATTGCATGAAATTCCTCCACCACCTCCCAGGATTGGAGGAGACTGAAACGTTGCAGCTGGTGACCCGACTTGGGTCCTGGGACAAGCCACGCAAACCGCTGTTGTTCTTTGAGGTGTTGGATGTCGTGGTTACTCAAGCAATTGTGCTCAGCAGGTGAATGGCAGGTGAGCTTCCCCAGAGAGCCTCCACCAAGAATGGGGAAACTGAATGACCATGTGTCTCACCCCGGGGCGTCCAAAACGACGATAACGTGATCGGACGTGGAAGGTGACATTTCCGGGCAGCTCCGGATCCTCATTTTTGGGGGGAAAGTAAGACGGAATGTCCTTTGGCATGGCTCCTCGGATTCCTTTTCGGACCGTGAAAAGAGGTGAAAACGGGATCGACTCCGAGTCTCCCAGAAATCTCAGACTGTGAAGGTCGAAGCGATTCGAAGCGAACATGAGGTGAATCAGCTCATCCAGGGCGAAGCTGTGGAACCGACCAGCTTCCACGGCGCGGTGCTGGTGGCGCAGCTCCAGGCGTGGTTTTGGGATGTTCGGTGTGGTCTCTTCTTTTTGGTTCTGGTTTCCCTTCCTTCACGCTTCAGCTAGCAGCTCACGGGCTATGACCCTCAGTTAGCTGAGACATGGAAAAAAAGGGGCACTCCTGAAGCTATCTCAAGCAGACCTGAATGGATCCACAGTCCCATGTGTTTCTTTTGTTCTCGGAGTCAGTCCCAGGGCGTCAACGAGTTGGCTGCAGTGCATCATGAACGCTTAGGCGGGCATCGAGAAATGGAGCCAAGGAGCGTTTGAGGGAGTCCTCCTTCATCCTCCTTCATCCACCAATTCTTAACGTTTTCAATTGTTTATCCCTGATGGAGGGATTTCATTAATTCCGTTCGTGCACTGGAGGCTGAACACCATAAGGTGGTCTAGCAAATTCATCAGCATTGACACTCCAGATTGGGTTCAAGAAAAGGGGTTGAGAAGCTTTGGGGAGTGGGGCTTTGATCCATTTTGAGAAACACTGCAGAAAAAACAAAAACAACATGTTGCTTTCTGCCCGCAACACCAGAGATGACCGCGCCAGCCGGCTGAATGCAGATGATGGCAGGGATGGCGTTTCTCTGTCCATCGAGATTCGAGACGACCGAGACGACCGAGTTCAGATGTGTTGGTTGTTTCCATGTGACCTAGTCAGTTCGGAGGACACATGTCTACTTTTGACCTATTGACCTAGACCGATGTTGTATTGGGTGCCAGTAGGGGCTTCACAGCCTGCTTCTGTATATATATAGTATGAGCATGTATGAGCTAAGACCTGACAACCCCGGAAGAACGTTGCGCTTGCTTTACAATTGTTTTTTGGTCAATTTCAGGTAGCACCACCAAGTTTCCAATCTGTGACTTCTTGTTGGTTTATGTATCCCCCAGAGGCTCGATCTCTTTTGCTGCCCGGCAAAGGTCCATGGATCTGGGACTCTAGTATAAGACATTATACTAGTATAGTCAAAAAGCCACTTCGTAGGTGACGGTGGATTTATTGTTCAGCAGGATCTTCGTGGACCATGGACACCTGGATCGGACTTGTTGACACCTGGACTCGTTCAAGCTCTCCGAACCTGCCACCGCGCGGTCAGGAAGCTTCTTGGATACGCTGCACACCTTGAGTCAGGGATGCCCAGTGCGAGAGCTCTAAGGTTTGGTGAAAACCAATAATTTGGCCTGAGCACGCTTGCATGTTCCATCTCAATGGGTTCGCCTTGGAATGCACCGACCATGTTTCCTGTGGACAATTCTACGCCAGACTCGTGAGTGATAGCGCACTTGCCCTCCTGTGCGAGCTGGATCTCGGCCAAGCTTGTCAGCAGGTTTATGGGAGGGCTTGGTTTGAATACTGAATTGCTGCAACTAACTCTTCGGTCAATTTGTGGGGTCATGACCAACTCTTGAGTAGCCCTTTGTGTGTTCCTTCCAGGTGCCACCGAAAACATCCTCCTCACGCTGTCTTCGGCCACTGGGCTACATGTGTGGATTTGGGCACATCAGTGATGCAGAGGCCGAACTGGGCAAAAGTCTTTGGCAGTCCCTGCGCTCGTCTTCTCTTAACTTTCACAGATCCGGGCGACTTGAGCAGATCCGGGCGATTTGCTGAGTTTGGATAACTGCAAGATGCACCTTTTGCTTTCACACATCTCCCTTGTGAACTTCGCCTGGGGCATGTACAGACACTTTGGATTGGACACCAAGGTTTGCTGACACTTCGTACCTCCTGCAGATTAACATGGACCCTGAAAACCATTGGGCTGAAAACCATTGGGTGGCAGATTAACATGGACCTAAGGAGGCCACCCAGCCCGTGAGGGTCACCTGGGCTCTTCCAGCCAGTGTTGATCTCCAGACACAGCCCCAGGCGGAATTCCGGTCCAGGTGTTACAGGAACCGAACCTGGACAGGGTCGGCGGGAGCTGGACAGCCACGAAAAGCGAGAAGGAACAGTGGGCGTTGAATCATAGGAACCCTACTGCGGAATATGAACACTTTAACCCTTCCCACCCTTGAAACAGACCCTCAGCAACAGCTGGCCTGGAGCAAACTTGGAGTTTGCTTTTTGTGTGAGAGTGTGTGTGTGTGTCCTTGCTTTCTTTTATGGAACTGATTGTGTGCTTGAGGCAGCCAAGCCAAGATGTCCCCCAAGCCAAGACATTGCCAAGCAAGCGTGAGCATGTTCAGGCTCACGAGTGTTTGATGTTGATCAGGACCTTCACAAGGGTCCCTTTTTGTATCCTTTTGTTGGTTCAGGGGTGCAGGCGCACGCCGACCGATGCATCGATGCGACGTCCTGCGACGTCCGGTTCCACCACCCGAGGAGGAACTGGTGGCGGTGTCTGGCTACGACGGCGCCCAGACCGCCGTCTGATCGACACGTGTCGAAGTCCGAAGATCCGACCAGGTAGGATTCTTGCTCCGTTCGTAGCTTCTTGTTCCTAGTGGTAAGGCCAGGAGCCCCTAGTAGCTTCTTGCTCCTAGTAGAGTCCTAGTAGCGATGCCCTTTGTTCCCAGTAGTGTCACCAATGGATTAGGATACCGAGAAATGTCCCACGTGGCAGGACTTCTCATCAGGGTGAATCAGGGTACCGTAGATGGTCGCCATTGGCCAAGTGCGGGGAGAGATGTGTGTTTTCTGAATGTGTGTGTTTGTTCTTCTTAGTTTATGTTTTGTTTGTTTTTTTTCTGTGTGTCGATGGAGCACGTTTTATTAATGACAACGGACAACGCCATTGTATCTTGAAACTCTGTGTCCCTGGTCCCTTGTGCCAGCTCAAGATTTTCCCAATCTAGAATCTAGGAATCTAATCGATCTTCTCTAACCGTGAACGTCGGAAACTAAGGATGGCATACTATATTATAATACCACCCCGGCAGCACTTTCGGATTTCGATGGATTTCGCATGCACGCAGGCCTTGTAAAACGGTTTCGCGGCCAGTCGTTCGTTTCGGTGAACCAATCCATTTGGTCTGTTCTGTCCCGTGGAGCGAGGCGATGCCGGCGAGCTGCAGCTGACCTGCTTCGCCATGGCCCTGCAGGACTCATAGAGAGCCCGTCGCCGAAGAGAGGCGTTTCAATCCAGTCAAGACTCAATCCGAGGCGTCGGTATTTTAAAGCTCAACTGCTCAATTGTGTCTTGAAGATTCGAATGTATTTGTGGGGCCAGTGGGAAGGTTTCTTTGTGACCTGGTCCATTCTTGTGATTTTGTGGTACGGAAGGAAGCCCAGGAGGCCAATTGACGAAGCAAGCTGTGACAACAAAAAGTGTCAGGCATCCTGACCACCGTGTCCCCCCACACGTGTCCAAGATTCCAGTTATTGCAGGCAAGCCCCCTTTCTTTCGCTAGAGCATGCTTGAGCTACTCCCAGTGTCTCACTTTAAAAAGCCGTGGAGTATTGAACGAGCGGTGGAGCCCAAAAACATGACAATGATCTTTGGTTGGTTCGGTACCAAGTAATGGCACCAAGTACTTGTGCACATTGTGGGTCTATGGTCTCAAATCAAAACATCGCGCTTTTTCGTGGTCCTTTAAACTCACTCAGAAGTGGAACAACATGAAGCAAAAACCGTGGAACTTGTTGGGCGCCCAGTTTGGTCCCTGCCGCCCCCCAGTCCTGCGCATACAGGAGAGGCTTGAGGCCTTTAGGCCCGCGCGCGCGGTGCGAAGGTCGAAGAGGCTTAACTGTTTATCTGAAACTCCCAGCTTAACGGTTCTTGACGGTTGACGCGCCTCCGTGTTGGGGGTTCATGGTTGATTGAGCACTGATGTGAGTTTCGGTTGGGCTTGGGAGGGAGGTAGAGAGAGAGAGAGAGACACCTTTTCAACATTGAAGGCTGAGTGAAACCATGTCAGGTTTCCTCTACCTGCTGGGGTAGGTCTTTCAATCGTTTACTCAAGTGGCACACACGTTTCGTGGCAAGATTAGACTCTGAACACCTCAAGATTCACCCTTGCGAGCGAGGCATTGAACCATGCAGCTTGCTCTGAAGGCTGTAGACTCGTAGACCTTATCATAGCAGAATCACCCATGATGGCAAAAAGATGTCACTGGCAGCCAAGCTTGCGCCACAGCTTGCGCCAGGGCCAGCATGCCAGGCGAAAGGTCCACTACACCAGCATGGCTTCTCAGACACCGCGAGCACCACCCGTGGGCGATTTCAGCGACAAAATGTTGTCCGACTTGTCTCGCAACAGGTGCGGCTTGGGTTCCCCAAAGGATGGGAGCGCAATGAGCGGAACGGTTGGGGGCTTTGGTTTGGTTATGTTTGGTTACGCTTCCCCCATACTATGAGACGTTCCAAAAATATCCAAACAGAAGTCCAAACAGATTACTTATAACTTAATCACCAAGTGTGATGGTTGGTTTATGGGGTCAGTGGGCTGGCATCTGCTGTATTCATTCGTATTCCACACCCAGATCACCCCCGCGCCTGAGCATTACTTGCATCAGAGGGTAAATCATGGTATCAGGGCCATGGAGTCATGGACCTTTGCAACTCTTCCATGTAATTATCAAAACACTCCATGTACGTCATGTTTACATTGACCCCAAGTCAACCGCCCCAATGTCTATAGAGTCTATAGATATATATATATTATATATTGTTTAACAACAATAATAACAAAAACGAAAATAGTAGAGTAATAAACATACTGTAATATCGGTATATCTCCCATGAAACTCGTCCTGGGTCTCGTCCTGCTTCGCGTCGGGTGTCGCTTCGAACGGTGTCGCGTCGTCTCGCGCCGTCGCACGAGGCGTGTCTCTCCTGCGGCCTGGACTGGGGCGAGCTGCGGCGCTTGGTCGTGGGCCGCTTGCACCCCCAGGCCCGGGCTCCGCTCCAAGAAAGGGAAAGAAGATGAAAGAAGAGTCTCCATGGAATTTTGGTGTATTGATGGTTTTGAATATGTTTAAATTGGCTATACTGGCTTCGTGGGTTCAGAGGAACTTTCGAAGCCATACTAGGACCATGCCATTGCCTGATTGCATGAGCTTCTGGACCATATTGGATGCCTTGCGGGTAAGCTTGCCAGCACCCCCTGAGGGTGTCAACAGAACGACCCCTTACCGCCTTTGGGGATATGATGTTTCTTGGTCTTAGGGATTTGTCATCGTTGACATGAATTTCCAGTGGCGGGGTTTGATTTCCTTGATTAGGCATTTGACTCTCACCCCGCGTTGCCACAGATAGCTCAGGAATGTTCAGGATAAAAACTGGTAAAGGAGCAAAGGATTGAGCCTGGGCAAGCAATGCATCAGCCTGACGGATCCCGACTGAATTGAGTTTAAATGCACCCGTTTTCTCCCATAATCCAGCGGGCTGTAGCCAAGCACTTCCAGGAAAGCACTTCCAGGATGTTCCAGGTTTTCACAAGCACCGATGGCGGCAGGTTTGGGTGGCTGGGCAGGCAGTGCTGCGAGCCAGGCCGGGTCGTTGGGTACCCGGTGACCCGCCCCTCAAGCTGGGTGAAAGAGAATCATACCAGACAGGAAGACCAAAAGGTGCCCATGGATTGACTCATGTTTTCTGAGGTTTGAGAGGTGGTGCCATATTTTGGTCCAAGAGACCCCAGTGGAGGATAGACTCGGATAGATGGTGACTTTGGCATTGCTGGGCTTTGATGGCTGTCCCATCATCCCTTAACCATATTATATGGTTCTCAGGGTGGATTGCTTTGTTCCGCCCATTCCACCATAGCTACTTGGCCCGGGTTGCGCACACGTCCATTGGAACATTTATCGGATGGATTGAGGTGAAGCTACCTTTCCTAAAGATTTGGCGGAACTGGGTGACTGGGTGACTGGGTGAGGAAAAAGTCGCCGTGGTCCAACCATGTCCAACCACTCAACCCATCGACAGTCCATCGACATCCCTGCTCAGACGCTTATGCCAAGCAGCAGTAGGGCGCCTCGAGGCACGTGCGGCGTAGGCCAGCGTTGAGCGGTTGGAACCTTTTAACCTGGACCACGTCTTGTATGTATGGCTCGAAAGGATGTCAAGATTTGTTTGGAAACCCTTACCCCTTAGCATGGTTTTACACTCGTGTATCAGCAGTGGAAGAGCTGGCCCATGGACTGGAAAACCACTACTTAGCTGTGCGGCACAACTCATGTTTACAGAACTTCACTAGTTCCAACAGATTCTGCCATTTCTGGCATACCCCCCGTGCAACCTCAGGGCTTTGTCGTTGTGTCCCAGATGCTTCTGAGCAAGATCCGTTCGGAGCACAGCCGGTTTTCGGCGCGTGGCGTTTGAAGCCTTGGGCGGGTTCCCTACGCTTGAATGCTTGCCTGGTAGATGGGACATGGCCGGCAACAATGTGAAAAAGAAACAACATGCCGGTGGGTGGGGTTCTTTTCAGAGCCATTTTGCCAGCTGAATTTCGAGAAATGGGAGGCACCTGAGATGTTCTGGATCAGTCGGGCATCCTACCATCCTCCCATCCTACCCTGTTCTAAGACCTTTCCGTCCCCATGGGCCATGTTTCACTCCTCAGGGTTTCGGTGAGTACCATAAGAATCCAGGGGGTGACGAGAGGATCACCAATGGTTCAATTTCAGTTGAGTTCATTTGGGTGGAGGGTGGTGTGGGGGGGGAAGTCAAGTTCACAAGCCTAGCAACTTCCAAACGTCATGTGTAATGTAGACTCTTGATTAATAAACCCCTCCAGTTGGACAATTCTCTTCATATGAGGGGCTTATTTATCAAGAGTCTATACTCTATACAATATTTTGTTGCAAATTGTTGATGTAGTTGATTGATGGCGATTCCAAAAGACGCCGAGGAAGTCATTCACCGAATAAACCTTGGATGGACCTTGGATGGAGGGCTTGGGGTCGCTTGACACTTGGCAGTTCCAAATCTTGAAACGTTGTGGTCATGAGTCAGCAACATGCATTGCATGTTGAATGGTAAGAGCCTCTTCAAATAATTTTGTGATTTATAACGATATTCATTGACGGAAATTATTCCCGTGGAACTCGTGACTTGTCTTCAGGAAAGGTCAGCTGGTCCAGTCAGAGGTGCTTAGTCCAATTGCTGGTCAACTTTTCTTTCTAATTCTCTAAAGGTCCAGTCAGATTTCACGCCGTTCCGGAATTGTTTGAGGAGACAACCCTGGAGCCCAACTGTGGGACTGTCGGATTCCACGGTTTCAATCTGATAAAATTTAGCCAAGGTTGAATCAATGGCTTATCAGTTTATTTCAAGTGCAACGGTATCCCAATTAATTAGCCGTGTGTTACTCTATCTTTTCGTTATTTGGTTTTCCTATCCTTCAGCTTTATCAGATCTGAGAGGTAGAGCACTCGGGAGCACTCCAGTCGCAAGGCCCGGGGCTACCGAGCCTGTCCGTTCAGCCGGTGGAGCTCACAGGTGCCCGGGTCGCAGATGGGCAGGTCGACCCACCGGTCTCCCTGGAAGAATGGACGGTCTCCATGTGGCAGGTTTTCAGATGGAAGTCTTAAGGTATCATTTCAGTGGTGTCATTGTTACATGTTACAAATTCTTTTGGCTGGTGGGTCGTGTGTAGAAGGTGTAGTCAGTGTGTCGTGTGTCACTGAGCTGCGTTACGCATCCCTTTTTCCTGCAACGCTCGGTGCATGTGACTCGGGGTGTGTTGACCCCGTTTTGCATCGCTTGGCCCTCTGAATGGAAGTTTTGGTGCTTGGGCACAGCTGGTGGAAATCATGTTTCTTTCGACACAGATGCTAGCAGTAGACCTCGGGGGTGGTTCTTGTTCATTGTATACCCCTTGTGCGGGCCTACAGGTATACAGGCACCACGAAGAAGCAATTCCCGGCCAGGCCATCCAGATCCAACCTCCGTCACAAATCCTCCTTGACCCATCAGTCAACATACGTAGGGTGTGGAACATCTCCTATATCGGGCCGAACGAACACCCCCTCGAAGGATCGAACGCAGATCGGACATCCGTTTCCGCCTGCAGGTGCGGAAGAGGAGCGCTTTTTCAAGCTGAAGGGATGGAGGGCTTTTTTTTCAGTAAGTTTGACGTTCAACCCTTTGGTGGAGTTAGTGGCAATT